TCTGCACAAGACGCTGGGCATGTAACGGAGACCGCCTCTCAACCTCCTTCCAACAAACAAGTCCAGTTTGACACTCCGCCTCTTCTGCCATCGCAGCCTTCCGCCCCCCCATACTAGTTACCAAACCTATTATAGCGCCTATTATTACAACACTTGCATTGGTCCACGGGATAGGTAAGAGGACACGAATCGAGCAAAGCCATCGAGGCTGGAGGAACCGGAGCCGTCACCGACCTTAAGACAAACTGTGTTCCTGGTAATCTCGAACGGGCATTATGATCATGACACTCGGACGAAATTTAGAAACTTGATAAGACGAAACGAAAATCGCGCAATTACTCACTGTTATTTTTCCTTCTCTGACACAAAGCCCCATTGCACGAATGATGCGCGTGTGAATATGGTGTCGTAAAGAGGTCCCCAATCCATAAAATCCGGGTTGTGGTAGATTAACCTTGAAATTTAGTATATTCGGAAACCTTCGCTAGACCTCTGAGAAACACGGCTCCCCTCTCATTTTTGTCTGAACAGTTGCTTCGAAAAAGTGCATCGAGAACACTTTTTACGTTTTCGTCTGGAATACAGTCTCGCATGTGCATCACTTGAAAGGTTGCGCTTAATCATCACTGCAGGTCTCAAAAGGGAACGCGATGTACAGGACATCAAGTCCCAAGTGTCATCGACTCCATTTTGCCTTTTTATTTTCGTGGGCACTTTCCATGAAAATACTTCTACAGCCGACGTGAGGAATTGACAGGCTGTCCGACATGGTACAATAGGAAGAAACGGGCTGATGTAACGTGACAAACATTATTACCGATCTACGGTACTCGCCGTAAAAAACGTCAAAAACCCGCGAAAAACGCGATTTCGCGTTTTTTTCGTTTTTTCGTTATAACTCGGTTCAAAATTGAGATTTTCAAAATCTGAAAAAAGCATTGAACTCAGCTCGTCGAGTTCTATAAGAATATGCTTTTAAACTTTTAAAAAGCCCTACTTCAGATTGCGCCATGCACTCGAGCTTTGGCTCGAGAAAAAATTGTTTGAATGTGGTGCGCATATAATCCCGCTTATGCATTATGATCTTTCTTCAGAGAGATGGGTCTCAGTAGTTGCTCCAGAACGCGCCGCGTATTCAACATGGTTCATTGTATTGTGAAAGGATCGATTGCTTTTTTTTTCAGATTTCATGGTCCCTATTCCATAGCGGCGCGCGCGTTAAATGACTCAAAATGTACATGACTGCGCTCAACAACTCCTCCTCTCGTGTTCAAATGGAAATCATAGATCATTTTTCAGCAGGACAGTTAGCCTATTTGGTGAAATTTTCCAATGTTTGAGCGAAGGTTTTTCCGAAATCTGAGAGGGTAGCGTGTTTACTAATTTTTCTTCCACAGTTATTTGGTTTTAGGTGAGCCTCGGCGTTCCTTTATTATGTTCCGTGCTAGCAATTTGAGCGATCGATATGGCTATGCATTGTGTGAGACAATTTCTCGCTTTCGCCGTTGTACTGGTGCTGCGCTGGCTTGTGAACATCCCTCCTCGTCATGCCCTGGTGTGTGTGCAAAATGATCAGATCTTTTTTTTGGGTGCATTTAGCATGATGCTCGCAGAACTGGAAATGGGTGTTGCCCGTTATTTTGATTTTCCCAATGAAAGTGGTGGATCTATTACATCGCACTCATAGCATTACTCCTCCCAGTTGAAAACGTTTTGTTTTTCATGGCCGGTGCAGCTTCCTTATTGCCGGATTGCGCGACAACTCTCACTGTTCCACTGTTACTGCCCCAAAATCTCACAGTTTCATTTTTCGTCGAAACTTTGCCTATTGGGGTAATTCGATGCCCTGATTACGAATATGACATTCATTTTTGATGCTGGTGTCATTTGGCGCCAATTGGCGCCAAAGACGATTTCGCGTTTTTTTCGTTTTTCGTTATAAATCGGTTTAAAATTAAGATTTTCAAAATCTGAAAACAGCCTTGAACTCAGCTCGTCGATCTATAAGAATCCGTCCTAAAGTTTTCTAGCGGCACTACACTGGATTGCGCCATGCACTCAATTTTCATCTCAAAAAGTAGTTGCTCGCATGTGATGTGTATATAATCCCGCTTATGCGGAGCTGACCGCTACACACAAAGAAGGGCCTCAAAACTTACCCCAGAATGCGCCACGTACTCAATCTCATCCACTACATTGTGAGATTAGATGAATGTTATTTTCCGAATTCTTAGATCTTCATTTCGTTTTTAAGCGCTTACTGGCTTTACGTGTTCCCTCTGCTCTCAATATCCCATCCTCTGTATTCAAAGGTGGAATCGTTGAACAGTTCTCAGCGATTTGCGGACAATCAGTGCGCCCCTATTATGCTGACATCTTCTCATTGTCAGAGGAGATGCTCTTTGCAGGAAAGCTATGAAGTTTAGCGAAGAATGTCTCAACAGCGACTAGCAGACTCACGCAGGTGAAGCTCTTCTGTAGGGGAAGCTGTATGAAACCTTGGCTGTCGAAGGATGAGCGATTGATGCTGCATGGGCGCAGCACTCCAGGTGGTGCCTGGTTAAACGAAACTCCTTGAGGAAGGGGTACTTCTTACAGATACCTCTGAGGAACTTGAGTTCAAGGCTGTTTTCAGATTTTGAAAATCTTAATTTTAAACCGATTTATAAACGAAAAACGAAAAAAAAAAACGCGAAATCGTCTTTGGCGCCAATTGGCGCCAAATGACACCAGCATCAAAAATGAATGTCATATTCGTAATCAGGGCATCGAATTACCCCAATAGGCAAAGTTTCGACGAAAAATGAAACTGTGAGATTTTTGGGGCAGTAACAGTGGAACAGTGAGTGCCCAATCGGCAATAGGGGAAGGCTGAAAACGGTGAAAAACCAAAGTTTCAACTGGGAGGAGTAATGCATATCATTCGATAGCATTTTTCACGGGGAATCTAACGGGGCACATTTCAGTTCTGCGAGCTCATCTGGAAATGCAAAAAAATCTGATCTTTTCACAAGGGCATGACGAGGAGGCATGTTCACAGCCACAGCACGGCGGAAGCGCTCGTCTACAAGCAAGCGTATCATCTCATTCTACACACAAGTAAGCGTACTCTACAACTGTGAAGAAATTTCCCCGCTACCTCCTCAGATTTCGGAAAAACCTTCGCTCAAACATTGGAAAATTTCACCAAATAGGCTAACTGTCCTGCTGAAAAATGATCTATGATTTCCATTTGAACACGAGAGGAGGAGATGTTGAGCGCAGTCATGTACATTGTTGAGTCATTTAACGCGCCGCTATGGAATAGGGACCATGAAATCTGGAAAAAAAGCAATCGATCCATTCACAATACAATGGACGATGTTGAATACGCGGCGCGTTCTGGGGCAACTGCTGAGACCCATCTCTCTGAAGAAAGATCATGATGCATAAGCGGGATTATATGCGCACCACATTCAAACAATTTTTTCTCGAGCCAAAGCTCGAGTGCATGGCGCAATCTGAAGTAGGGCTTTTTAAAAGTTTAAAAGCATATTCTTATAGAACTCGACGAGCTGAGTTCAATGCTTTTTTCAGATTTCGAAAATCTTAATTCTTGGCGAGCTATACTCTCATTTTTGAACGGCAGTTTATAACGAACACATTAAAACACGCAAAAAAAACACGCGAAAAACATCGCGATATTTTCGCAGTTTTTTTGGACGTTGTTTACGCGCGGGAGTACATGCAGCAATACCATACAGTGTAACATGCTGGTTTTTCGCCTCGGAAAATCGATATGGGAAGGTCGTAGCGCCACTTTCGTCTTGGAGCGCACAGAATTGTGTCTTATAGGTTGTGGGCTTATTTTTTTTTGTGCTCCAATACAGATTCGGATCGTGGTCACCTGTCTGCGAACGGAACTGCCTACATCTTCGATGCCAACGTGTCTATTTTTAGCTTGAGGCTGATGTCAAATTCAGAGACCGAGATTTGAATTTATCGTCGTTTGCTTACGAAGGGCAGAACTTCCTTTACCACCACGTTGATGAAATCCAAAGTGTGCTTGGTGTCGTTCTGAGCCTAAACTGGCCGTCATGCGGTTTTCTTGTATCTGTGCGGCTATTGGTAGAGAGACAAATTGTGCTGTTAGGGTGGGGCGCGTCATCCAGCTTCCTCGGCTACCTCCATCATTTGCGCAGTGCATTCATGGATCGTATGGCGTCCCCTGTCCTCTACTCTATCATCCCTCAGTCTAGAGAAGGGGTGACAGGGTTGCGCCAAGTGACTCAGACGGAGGGGGGGGGGGGGGCAGAGTCAACCCTGCGTTGCGCAGTTCGCAACGGCACGTTGAGAGATCCTCAACGCACGCTGTATGGGCGGAGACGCAGACGGCTCGAGCATGCGAGTGTGAATGTTCGCGCGAGAGAACGTGTCTAATCGGGCGAAACTGCGCAACGTGGCCGTTGAGAACTGCGCAACGCAGGGTTGACTCTGTTGGATGTTCTGCCGTTGGAGCAGTTATTTCCAAAACAACCAAGGCGCGAGTTATGCCAGGAATGTTAAAAACGCAGAGGTAAGGAGAGTCCTATGACTCAATCCTGTCTCCACCATCCCTAGAATAGTATCGTTTTAGAGAGGGGGATGCATCCCTCTGATCGTGAGAAGAGACCCATGGAAAACCTCCAGCGACGTGACCGCTCGTCCTTGATTGAGGTTCGATAGGAGGGAGGGATGCCGAAGCCTAGCAATCAAGGACATTCAGACGGGGAGAGAAGCCGTTTGGCGCAGACGCGAGCTTTTTCAGCTCCTTACCTTTAAGACTCAGTTTCTGGGTGGGTGGAGTAAAATTTAGGAATCTAATGTAAGTAGCAGCCAATGACCAGATGATCTCAATGTTCGACGTCGGCGTACTTGCTATTTCATCACCTCCACCATGCGGACTAACCAGCTAACAGATGAAAAGAGATCACTCACGTGGCGAAGAAGTTTGGCAGGTCATCGCCCCATTTCTTTCATTTCTACAACTTCATACATCTTCCACATTGTCTGGAACCACAGGGCTGCGCCATACTTCCTGTGATCCTGAAACAAATGAAATACGACTAACTGGCTCTTAGCTCTCAAGAACATCTTGCTGCGTGCCTCTGTGGACATCCTAATATTGAGAAACAAAAGCGCCATTTCGCAGAATTCCTTTGCCGAGTATCGAGGAGCTAGTAGGACTTGGATCTGAAATGAATTCTATAATTCGTAGGCTTTGCAGCGGTTACCGGAATATCTTGCTCATGCAATTTCTTATTGAGTGTTATTAAAGCAAAAATTGCGGAAAAAGTTGATGCTCAACATTTTGAGAAAGAGAAAACCTTTTCCCAAATCTTTGGAGACTCAGATGGCCTGTGTAGAATCGCTTCAGTCTGAAAGTTGGCTTTCGGATTCTTCCCGCCGTCTACGTCCTCCAGTTTTCCATATGCAGCTCCATAATATAAGTCATATACAGGTTCCCATTCCAGCACGAGATCTTTATGTGTCTAACGAATGTAACATTTACTGAAAAGCATAGGTAATTTTAGTGGACAGAGAAATTGGTGGAAACGCGATGGCTGAAGATTGCTGTGGACGTCAGCAGTGAAGGTCAGTTCAGAGGTACATGCGGGTGTCCAACGCCCTACTCTTTACGGTGGCATCTGGTTTCTCTGGCACAGAACCATTATCAGATGGATTCACGAACGAAAATGGTTGTTGAGGACCGCTGTGCCGGACTGCACTACTCAGCGAATCGCTAGCCGAATCACGAGGTATCGAGCAAATGCGCGAGGCACGGATTTCTAAAATGAGGCGCCTTAGCTGTGGAATCGCGCTGGAATGAGTAGCGAGTCTCTCTCATTCGCCGGGTCCCATGAATTCACTCTGTCCAATTGGGTTGCATCTTTGCTCCATTGTGACGAGGGCGTGCAACTTTGTTAGGAGTTCTATCGCGAAGGGCGTGAACGCGAGGACCATTAGGGCAAATGGCGGAAGCCAGCAACAAATGGAAACAAGCTTCCCCACGGCTCTTCATACTTCGGAATCGATGGGTGTGCGTTTGAACCGCAAAGTCTGACACCCTTTGGAATTATTTCACTCCCCTTTGTTTCCTTGCCGAATTTACTCAATTTGATTCCTTAAGTAGCAGCTACTTAACATTTTATTCACCACCTTGCTATATACATACAGTATGCAGCCATTTGCGAAGCAATGAATTTGAGCCTCCTCTCCTGGCATGAGGGTAGGTTGCTCGTTGCGGTACACACGCTTGGGGTGGTAGCGCTTGGATGCACTTTCAGCTTATGAAGTATCTTCATGAGAAGAGACTGGATACAAAAAAGCAGGGAAAGTTGAATGGTAAGGTAGAGGATATTAAAAGGGGGCAACAGCAACGATCAATTAGATGAGCTCCCACTCGAATGCGAGTGCGGGGATGCGAAACCAACCACAAATGAGAGAACACAGGAAGAAATATCGTCAAACACAGAAATGCAAACCTTCTTGCTCTGAGCTGTGGAGAATTTCAAGAGACGGACAGCGAAATAAGAGATAATGTGAGTCGCGGAGGGGGAAAGAACTTCCGTGTGGAGAGAGCACTGCCAGTCAAGCATAACTTCCATGAAGAAGATATCAAACGATGGGAATACGGTTCAACCGAGCGTTGGCGATTTGAAGTCGTGGGTGCCTAGTGCCTTAGTGAGACGTTTCGAGGTGCTAAGTTGCCGCTACGACGCAGCTTCATATCATCGATGCGTAATTTCAACGATTTTACTAACACTTTTCCGGCGACACAAGTTTCTTTCCGTGCGGAACGCTAAGTTGCAAGACTCACTTAATAAGCTTTTCTAGAGCCCTTGCTGCGTAATGCACAACGTCGTGCCACTGATCTTTTTTAACCATCACTAGATACATCAGCTTAATTAGTTTAATATGATCGCTACGGGAGAATCTGAATCCATGTGCATCTATAAATCTGAAATGCAACCTTTTCCAATGAGAAAACGTAATCATTTGGAAAACATCCAGAGTTGGAGGTGCGCACGTATAGAATCTAAGAAAAAACAATACAGACTACTGGGGAACAATACTTCCTTGGAACAAGAGAATAAAAAATTTTCTGACGAAAATCAGTTGAAAAGTAGTGCAATCAACCCGAGAATGGAACGATGTTTTCGGAACGGGAAGGATGCGACCATTGAGTACAGATTTAAAGGCAATGAATCAGGATCACATTGATGGGTTGATTCCACTCAAATGTGAAAGTAGGGATGAGAGGACCGCCAATGGAGAAAAAAGGAAAGAAAATCCTGAAATGCACAGGAAATACGAGCATTTTGCTCATGCTGTGGAGAAGTTCAAAAGACAGGGAGGAGATGTACGGAACACCGCGGTTGGCAATATGTTACAGGCAGCGATTACGATAGGTTCAAGAAGGGTTTAGAGGAGACTGGTGGTGCTCAATGGTACGTCAGTGGCGAAAAAAGCGGAGAAATCCGTCAAAAACGCAAAACGGGACCCCCTTTTTGGCCGTTGGTTTTCACTCATGAACAGGTAACAGCTCAGAAAGCGGGCGTATGAACGAGTTCAGCGCAACGCGTTTGGTAACACCATGCCAAACCACGCTCCAATCGAGTTGCTCCAGTTGTGCCGCTGCTGGCAACGCAGCTCGTCCAAATCACCAACTAAACTAGTGGGCGGATTGGGGGCGGAGTGCTTTCGAAGTCCTGCTCAGCAACCAGCGAACCTTCCGTCGTGAAAGCGCTACATCGCTTCCCTGGCAGCCAAGTAACTGATTCGTGTGGTGCATATGCTTCTCCAAATGGCTCCTCGCTTTATCGTAATTAGCGACGCCGGTTAAAAGGCAGGACAGTCAGGATTAAATTTATGGGTTATTCCACCAAGATGCTGAAGAGTAAGGGATGAAGGTCGGACCCGCCAATGGAGAAAAAGGAAAGAAAATCCTGACATGCACAGGAAATACGAGCATTTTGCTCAATGCTGTGGAGAAGCTCAAAAGACAGGGAGGGAGATGAGAGATAATGTGAGCGCGGAGGGTGGTAGGGAATTTCGAGAAGAGAGAGCAAATAGCAATCAATGCGGCTAGGGTGAAACTCCAGTTCGGGGGGGCCACTCCATTTTTTCTCCAATACTCAAGATAAGGATTAGAGGGCTCACGACACGTAATCGACTCATTTAAAGTAGACTTCTGATAAATATTGGTGTAATGGGTGAGAAACCCTGAAACGTTTTCACATTTCCGCCTGCCATGACCCAAGGGAACGGTCCTGGACCAGGAGAAAGGACACCTCCGCAAAGGGCTAAGGGTGCAGGAGCTCCAGGGTGGATCACCTGTGCAGAAAAGTGGATGGGATGTGGGCAGGTAGTGTGGAATGTAGGAACATCCACCGGTCCTTATCAAAAGTAACGCTCGAAAATGATTATATCATACTATAATTACCGTAATGTTTCGAGTAGGCCCCAAAGAACTGCTCTTTAGTACTAACCGGGAATAACGATGAGGCAATTGGTGCGCCCCGCCCGAACTGAGTTCAGATCAACGCCGCGCGAGAGGCAAGACATCGATCGGTGGGCGGACCATGTTATGTTTGGTGGAGTCTGTTAGAAGTTCATGGCGCCTAGGGTCCTGGTGACGGGTTTCGATGTAGAAAGGTGGCGCTAACTTTGCACTTGCGTGCCCAGCACTTCTAGCCATGGTAAGGGCTTCTTAGGTGGGTCTGAGCCCGAACTTTGCCTTTAAACGATTTCGTTTGATTAGTTGTAGAAGACTCACCACACCATCGAACAGCAGCTTAGAGTCTTAGTTTACCAAGCGACTTACTTAATATGTCTCCCTCTCTTGCAGGGAAAAAATCGTGACAAGGGCATGATCTTGCTGTCTGCCTTTCATTCTCCTCCACATTGTAGAACGGATTTTGATGTTTTCGGCATCATACTTCTTTCCCCAAAAACCTATTTGCCCCTCTTACTATCTCATCGAACGGAATTCACACCAAATTGATGTGGAATCTGCGTTTAATCCGGTGCCTCCGGTGGTCTTCTTTGCTCATGTTGGATTGCCATTCATCCCATCTAAAAGAGTTGCCTACCTCGCCGAGCTTCTTTCGACAAAGTCCTTCGCAATCTTTGCCAATTTCGGAGGTCGCTTGCTGGTCCTCGCTGCTGGCGTTTTCCTTGACGGAGTATCCTATGACTTTCAACTCATATCTATGTCACTGAAGTAGCTGCTCTGTGAGGCAACGGGAGACTATTCACGGACATAACAAGTTGAGCTCCGCATGCTAAGGCGCGTGGCATGGAAGGCCCCGGACTGACCAGATCGTAGGCTCGGGTTTTACCACTATACAACAAATTATTTCGTAAAATGCGTTAGCTGACCATCTCGCAAGTTGCCCATTTTTGCTAAAGCTCACCGTTTGATACGCGCGGTGGAGTGCGGAGCTGAAGTGGTGTCTGTAAACAACCACCATGCATCGAATGTCAGGATAATTTAGCGGTCGAATGAATTTGATGATAATGTTGTTGAAAACAGCCGAGTGGTTAAGAGGTTAGACTCATGTCTGCACCTCTGAAAACCGCGAGTTCGATCCCTGCCGAGGTTAACCATGCCTTGCAAAAATTGCAAAAATGGTTCTAGTACCAGCGTCAGGCCCAGGTTGACAGGCCGGCTGATGAACACCCCAGTCACACCAACATGTCTAAAAGTCGCAAAAGAATCAGTGTTAATGCTAGGACGTCACCCGGAAAGCCTCGGCCAAAGAAGCTAGTTCGAATAGGGACTCTGAACGTAGGATCGCTAACTGGGAAGTCCCGAGAGGTTGCTGATCTGATGACGCGCAGGAATATCCAAGTCCTATGCCTTCAGGAGACGCGATGGAAAGGTGCTAAGGCCAGGGAAATCGGGGAAGGTGTCAAGCTCTACTACAATGGAGAAGACACCAAGCGGAACGGTGTGGCCATAGCGGTAGCGGAGTCGCTTAAAGGAATCTTGCGCGGAAAAATCATGATTCTATTTCAGCCATAAATCACTGGCTTGAGACTCATTATCCACGATAATAGTGAAAAGAACTGAAGTATTGCTTTCGTTTTGATTAGAAATTCGAAAACTCGAAAAGGCTGCTACGCGTTCGAATTGCCCACGGACGTCTTTCACGAATGCTGGC